GCCTCTTGCAGAGCCCCGCCCCCCTGGGCTCTGATGCCCTGGAAGCCAGATGCTCTCAAGGGCCAGCCTCATCTCTGGCCCCCACCCTCTGAGCACCCCGCGTGGGCCAAGGCCAGCYTGAGCTTGCTGACCCCAAGGGACGCCCTCGCCCTGAGATGGAGCCAGGTGGAGGGTGGGACAGAGCCTGACCTGGGCGCTCCTCCTGCAGCGGGGCTGGCTGCTGGAGAAAGAAAGTAGCCAGGACATGGCCTTGGGGAGAGGACCAGGGTCACCTCAGGGAGGCCCAGTAGGGGTCTTGGAGCCCAGGTGGCTCCTGAGGGGAGAGGGGCCACGGGGCCAGATGGGCAGGGCCCAGCTTGGAGGCATCCCCACCCCAGCTCCTGCCAGCACCCCCACTCGGCTCCAGTCTTGGCACAGATGAACCCTGGCGCAGTACCCTGGCRCCCCAGAGGAGAGCAGGGGTGCCGCGGCCCGGCACTGCCCGGGCACAATGCAGCCGCACAGTGCCCTGGAGGGAAGAGGCTGCGGCCGCACAGGCAGGGACCCGAGCCACACAGCCCCCCCACCACAGGCAATGTCCAGTACCAGCACAGGGCTTCCCCCTCCCCTGGACTGGGGTCAGCAATGTCCAGAGCACAGCCTGACTTGGAAGGGGCTGAGAGGAGACCTGCCCAGCTTCCTGCAGGGAGGAGATGCAGCTGCTCCAAGGACCCAGAGGACCAGTATCCTGCTGGGCCAGGCAGGGCCAGCAGATACCATCTCTTTGCCTCGGGGCCCCTCTTCCCAGGGAGCAGGCCTGGCCCTGGCCTGGGGCTGCACTCCCCCCAGGATGTCTGTTTGCACAGGGGAGGGGCGGCCAGCCGGGCCTCCTGTCTGCAGCAGGGGGTGGCTCCAGGGCCCTGGGATGGGCAGATAAGGCATTAACTGCAGCTGAGACGCGCCCTGCTGATCTGCTGACGCCTCCGTCCACCCAGGTGCTCTGGTGAGGTGCCAAAGGTTCCCTATAAAGCACCGGGCTCCCAGCCACCGCCACTTGCCCTCTGGCTCCCATCCTGCCTGCGTGTGCCAGGCCCAGCTCAGTGACCACCATGGTGAGGCTCGTGCTGCCCAACCCGGGCCTGGAGGACCGGATCGCTTCCCTGGATGAGCTGGAGAGCATCGAGGAGAAGGAGGCCAGCTCCCGGCCCCAGTGGGACAACAAGACCCAGTACATGCTCACCTGTGTGGGCTTCTGCGTGGGCCTCGGCAACGTGTGGCGCTTCCCCTACCTGTGCCAGAGCCACGGAGGAGGTAGGGTGGCCAGGGCCCGGGGTGGGGGGGGGGGGCTTGAGGCCAGGTGGAGGCTGAGGCCAGACAGACTGCAAGGCCAGCAGCAAACAACCCAGAGGCCGGAGGTCACAGATGGCCATCCCTGCCGGACCCCCAGTACGCCCTTCAGAGAGCTGAGGGGCTGAAGATGTCCCCACCCCCTAGTCTCCTGGGGAGACCCACCCTGTTCAGCCCAGGGTAGCTGTGGGTTCAAAGAGGGTCTCGCAGTGGCTAGAGACAGAGGGACGGGTGGAGCCCCCTCCCCTGAGGATGGAAGGCCTGGGTACTGGGCCCCTAAGACCCATGGACTGGGAGAGGGTGACCAGAGGCACATGCTGCTGGACTCCAAGCCGGGCTCTGGAGGCACAGCCCGAAGGCCCACAGGTGGAGCGGGGCCGCTCCAGGGCCTGGCCTTCCACAGGCAGCCCCCTTCCCCACCTGGTGTGGGCCTGAGCCTGGGCTGGCCCCTTGTCCAGCTCCAGGTGGCTCCTGCTGCTAGCAGGAAGCTCAGGGGGCGAGTGGCCAGCATGGAGGTCATAGGTCCCGATGGCTGCCTGGCATCCCTAGCYTGTCCCCTGGCCCCCAGCCCTGGGAGGCTGCTGCCCCTCTTGTGGGCAGCCTGGGGCTCCATTACCATTTCGGAATCCTGAAGGCCCAGGAGTCTGGGCAGGCCCAGGCCGACTGCAGGAACAGGCTCTGCGGGTACCCCGCGTGCCATGAGGCGTGGCATCAGGTTCTCTCTCAACGACTGGTCGTGCAGCCTCACGGGCTCTGRGGGAAGTGCCCAGGGAGCAGCGGGTGGCACTCCTGGGTCAGCTTTGCCCTCCGAATTGCGCAGGCTGCGCTGTGCAGGTGAACTCTCTGGTGTCTCTGGTCCAGCCGGCCTGTCCCACTTGGGGCAGGTGGGTGCCCTGGGGCTAGGGTGGGGCTTCCCAGCAGGCCAGGTGCTGACATTCCCCAGGTCCCTTCTCCACACTGGCTTCCCAGAATTCAGCTCAGCCCTCAGCCTTCCGCCAAAGTCCCCTCCCCGCCCCAGGACCCTGCAGCACTCGGTGCCAAAGGGAGCCAGGGCTGCCTACAGATACACAGGCCTGGGACCTTCCTCTCCACTCAGGGCAGAGGGGAGGACAGGCAGGGGGCCATGCAGGTGCCACAGGGGGAGCGGACCAGGATGCCCATGGAGGCCAGGGCTGACCAGTGTCCACCTGGGAGAGCATCAGTGGGTCTGAGGCTAACCCACAGCACTTTGTTTCAGGGTCTCTCAAAAGGGCCTCCTGTGAGCCCCGGGATCTGGTGGAAATCTGAAGGGCTCCAGCTCCTCGGGGTCAGGGTCAGCCTGGAGATTGCGGGGCTTTGGGTCCTAACCCTTCCCTCTGAGGACCACGGGGTCTGACCCTTGGAGGACAGGTGGGGAAGGGGCTGTGCAGGCTCTGTCACAGGCTGGGATCCCTGGGCAGGGTCTCCTGGGCACCTGCTTCCCTGCAGGGCCTGGGCTCCAGCAGGCAGAGAGGTCCTGGGAAGCCCAGGGTCTAGGGTGGTCCTGAGGACACCAGCAAGCCCTTCTCCCCTAGTCCCTGGACCAGCTGCCCCTGTCCTCTTGTGTGGGACACCTGGTCACCTCCCGGGCTTTGGAGGCCACCTTCCAGCCAGGCTCTCCAACAGCTGCAGAGATAGCAAGCACAGGTCACCGTGAGACCTGTGCCCCTGGATCACTCTGCCCTGTGCTGACCATGTCCAATAACCCAGCACCTGGCCTGAAGGAGCAGAAGCCAGGATTCCAGCAGATGGACTCAGGGAAGCAGGACCCAGGCCCTCTGCTGCCCGGGGAAGGTTCTGAGCTCCCGCTGTGACTCCGCACAGGGGCTCCTGTGAACTAACCTGGCCGTGTCTCTGGACGCGGGGGCTGGCAGAGAAGCCCTGGAGGTGAGGCTGTCTGCCTTCCGCCTTCAAGGAACAGCTGAAAGGACCCAGGGGACACAGGGTCCCCTTGGCAGGCTCCCGGGGACGTGAGGCTTTGGCAGGAGGGCAGGGGAGTACSTGGCTCTGCACAGTATGGGGGCACATGTAAGGGGGGGCGAGCCTCAGTCAGCTGAGACGGCCCCCTCAGGCATCACGTCCACACTGCCATCAGCTCCAGGGCCATATTCACACCTGCGGCCAGAGACACCTGTCTCCAGGTGTGTCCCAGCACTGGCCTCAAGCCTCAGGCCACTGAAGGGCTCTGCTGGCCCCTCCAGTGCTGCTGCCCCGCTCCCTCCACACTCTGCAGGGCAGACAGACAGCCACACTGAGAGCTGGTCCCAGCTTTCTCCAGTGCCCCTGGCCCCTTGCCCACCAGCAAGCCCAGCCTGCCCCGCTCTAGTCCAGGGGCTGCCTCCAATGGCTGGCTCTGTGGGTCCTGTCCTCGTGGGTCCTCTCCTCCGTGGGTCCTGTCCTCCGTGGGTCCTGTCCTCTGTGGATCCTCTCCTCCGTGGGTTCTGTCCTCCATGGGTCCTGTC